AAAGGTGGGGCCAGGACAACACTGGACGGGTAACTCTGACATTCATCCTCCATGCCAAGGCTGACACAGGCTACAGACCATGCGAAGACCCCGAGCTCTCTTCAAGCAGCGGCATCTTGATGGGCACAGATCTTTTAGGTCACAGCCAGTTCCAGTGCCAGCTAAAAACTCAGACTTCCAGGAATGGGTCAGCAGTACTGTTACATTTGAGAGTCAGGAAAAAGGTTCAGATTCCACAGAATTACTAAAAAGAAAAAAGGAGGAAAAGGGAGGGACAAGGAACTGGAAGAGATTCTTGTTGGAAGGAGCTGGAATAACCTGCATTATTGGTCTGCTTGTTACCTAGGAAGATGTACCAGGAAGAAGGAGGGAGAGAAGGATGGAAATGAGAAAAAGGAAAGAACAGGGAGAAACAAACGTGAAAGATATCCCAAAGCAACGTTCCTCTCCTTAGTGTTGCCCAAAATATGCGATTTATGAAGAGAGATCACTGGGTGTCTTGTCAAAATGCTTGGGCTGGTACTCTGGACCTGGGCCCTGTTGCCAGGGGGCTATGCATTCTGGAGCTAAACTCTCTGAGCTTCAATTTTCTTAGACCTGAAATGGATTTTATGAGGCATGACAAACGCGGATTTCCTGTGAAATATGCTGTAAAAATTCATTAATATAGTGTACATGAAACTATATATGTGTATATATATAATATATATATTATACATATATATATAAAATCTCTGCATATATCTCTTCAGAAATGGGTGCACAAACTGCTCAAGCAGAGAGAAACTGATTTCTGTTACATTCTCTCAGTTTTTTTTTCCTTTTTGGTACATAAATAACAGACATGTCCATTGTTTCTTTCCAAGGTTCCAAAGGAGTCTTTCTTAACCATAGCAAAAAACATTTGTATGATCAATATCAGGCCATATTTTTTAACACTCTGTGGTTTAGAATTTGGGAATTGAATGTTAGGATTAATGAGGGCTCTGCTAGAGGCCTGAGCTGATCATACATTTTCCTTCAACATTTGTAATTTCTTCAATTCCCAGAAGTACTCAAATATGTAGTATAAAAATTATCCATGAAGTTAGAGTAGCATTCAAAGTGAAGTATGGCAGTTGTAAATTTTTCCCCTTAGAATTAAATTGTCAGCCTGGTCTGTCACTGGGTGCTTCTGCATTACCCTTCACTTTCATCATAATTGTTTATGCCAGCCTGGAATATTTTTTTCTCCACTTTTTCAGGGAGCCTAAATCTCTACATTTGCAGATTTATTTCTTTGGAATCTTCAGTTAGAATATAAAATCTTCAGCAAGTGAAAGAGAATAATATGTGAAGGTACCATAAATTGTTAAAATCTTTGTATGAATTTGTTCATCGTATACATTTAGTTATTGGACAATAAACTCTCTATATAATAGGGTCAGTAAGCTGGATCATATTTCTTTTTGGTGATTCTACTCCCTAAAGGTCTTTTAAACTCCCTGAATCTTGCTATCCACACTGTTCATGTGCTCTCAAGTCTGTACAGTGTCCCTGGGATTGGGCACATAGCTTAGAGTCCAATGATTTTAAGCTTGGTAAAATGGAATCATTTAACAAGGATTAATGAGAGGAAGTTCTATGTTAGATTAGGGCATCAAGGCAAGTGTTTTCCAGGATATGATCCATGAACTACTTTCATCAGTTACCTGTGAACTTGTGACAATACAAAATCCTAGACCCCAGCCTCAAGTCAGTGAATCAGAATTTCAAAAGCAGATTCAGAGACTCAGCATTTTTGAATAAACCCCCTAGTATATTTTCATTACATCACTCTGATTAACTCTCACAAAGCACTCAGAAGATCTTCTTTCTCCCATTAAAATAGTTCCCAAGGGCAAGGCCTTATCTGCTTTCATTACCCATATATATCTCAGGCTCTTAGTCCATGCCTGGCACATGCATATTGTCTCCAAGTCACCACGGTTCCATTTATAAATTTTTATTTTATGATGGCCCAGAAGTGATGGTATTTAGTAGAAACCATACTTTGAGTTGTGCTTCTGGGGAGTGGCAGTGAGCTACAGCTCCTAGTCAGCGCCACAATCATAAAAGCAAACAACTGATGTTCTACAGTGGACTTCATAGCTGAGCTGATGATCAGGAGGTTAAGTATGATCAATTCAATTTGACTTACCTTCCTTTTAACAGTGGGTGTATTTGGACATTACTTATCAGAAGTGAAAGAGCTTATATAGTGATATTTGTATTTTATGGTTAAATGATTGATTTGATGGATTGCTCATGGCATTGCTTACTCCTGGTCTTCAGCATATTCTTCTTACTACTTCAGAGTTAGTTTTCAGAATAAAGTTTCTGATCTCATTGTTCTCTCCCTTAAAACTTCTGTTATTTCTGGGCCACTTGCAGAAGAAATATAAACCTCTTTACATAACATAAAAGACTTTCACAACCTTATTTCAAACTTTCTTATAGCTTCAGTCAAGACTACTATCCTCAGTATTTGCTCATGTTTAGGCATAAATTCGTCAGATGTTCCCAGATTTTATTACACATCCATCCTTTGGCTCAGGCCACTTTCTTTGCTAGGATATTTTTCCTTCTTTTCTGATTTCCCCCAACTTTGCTTATATTTATATTTTTCTGAATTTTAGATTAAATTTTCCCTTTCTCTGAAAGGCCTGTACAAGATTTTCCAGGTTAGTTAGTTTTTGGTGCTCTGATCTTACTCTTTTCATGCCAGTTATTATAGCATTTTCTGTAGTATTTTGTGCCTCTTACCTTTGTATATCAAGAGTTTAGGGTAGTATCTCTCACTTGCTATTTAATAACTGCAGTAATTATTAAAGAAGGAATTTATAAAATTTACATCTCCCCAGGGCTGAGAATGGTACTTGGAAAAATTAGACAACCTCATGGGAAAAAAAAAAGAAGATATTATGTACAGGTCAAATTCTCTATGATGTTTGTGATCATTATGTATGGCAAACATATACTAATAAAAAATATTAAGGCTTAGAGCCTCAGGAAGTACATTTAACTAGTAAAAGTAAAGGAAATAAAATAAAGTTCATCATTAATCTTGACTCCAGTGGAATCACAGAACAAGAGAAAGGATGCTGGCCTTGGAGCACACTTAATTTCCAGACAAATTCGCTCTCTTTCACTGTATGGCCTGGTGCCTGAAATATTCAGTATTAATTTTTTTCCTTAATGACCCTAAATATGTTTATCAAGAAGTGAAACACTGGTGCTTTTGTTCTGTGATTTGACCAATTGATGGTTGAAAAAGGTAAACTCTGAGGGGTTGAAGGAGAAGTCACCACTTAAGGTTTATTAGAGCACAGAAATGACATATTCAGCTCAGTGCAAGTGACGTAATGAGGAATTTAGTTCTCTCTAAGGTATTGGCAAACTTTCAATAGTGACTTTTACTGTATAATTTCCATTAAAGTCCATTCATCCCTTTGTTTGTTGTTTTCATATTTTGTGTAATTGTTTGCCAAGCTGGAAGAGGAACCAACAGAAGATGGTAAATACGTCAGAACACAGGTACAGCCAGAAGCAGAGACACAAAATCTCTTTGCTAGTGGATCATAAGGAGCTGAGGGAACAGTGTTTTACAGCTACATCTCTAGTGAAACACAATGATGGAAGTAGATATGGAAAATTTCAGAGTGAAGTCCCAGGTCACCAAGGACTGTATTTATAAAATAACCAGGAATTTGCCCCATATCTCTTGATGCCATTGCTGTTTGTAGCATCCAAAAACTGTTCAGAGAATGGGGAAGCAATAAAAGTTTTATCAATTGGTTTCTTCATAGAGAGTTTTTATATGCAGTTACTCCCGTTTCTTTCAACCCTAGTGAAGACTTTCCTGAGAATACTAAGAAACACCAAAATGTTCTCCATATTAGGGAAATGGAAATGACTGATGCCTGTTCTGTTTTGTACTTGAGGAAGATAGCAGAATACGAAATACTGTGCACCTCGTGGATTTGTTAGGGCAAAGTGACTGGACTACTTGGGGGCTGTTTACCCTTGACCAAGAAGTCTTTTGCTATGAACAAGTGGATCCCAAGAATGATGTCCTTGTTCAGCAGAGCCTTTGAAACCCTAGTTTTAGTGTAAACACTTATTGCTATCTAAGGAGGAGATGCATTCCCATATCAAGGAGCTCCAGTGAAAGTTCACAATACATGAAAATCTCCCAGAGGGAATGATACTTAACCATTTGGCATCTAAAGCACCCCAGATCGGACAGCGGCACACAGGTCGCAAAACGTGTCCTTCACACTAGTCTCTAATAGGAGAATTGAGAGAAACTTGTGCAAGCAGACTAGAGAGAAAATGAAAACATAGGATGGAGTTTTTATTTTTTTAAGAGATCATATATTCACTCTTTGACTACAAGGTTTTATTTGCTAAAATTCCCAGAGTGGAGATAGGGGATAGAATTTACTATTAAATTAAACATAGGGCTTGAAGACTGTTGATGATTGAACCTGAAATTACAGTCAGCACCCCATATTCATGGGTTCTACATGTGTGGATTCAATCAACCATGGATTGAAAATATTTAAAAAATTGCCAGCACTGAAAATCTATGGTGTTTTTTGGCTGTCATTATTTCAGTAATAGAATTTAATAACTATTTGCATAAAATTTGTATTATATTAACTATGATAAATAATCTAGAGATGCTTTAAAAGGTATGGGGGTGTGAATAAATCACACGCAAATACTACACCTTGTTATATGAGGCACTGAGCATCTGTGGATTTTGTTTTCTGCAGGAGCTCTGGAACCAGGCCCTATGGACACTGAGGCTAGGTGTGTGAGTTAAAGGGAACTGAATCTGAAGGCAACCCTAGTGTAACTAGAAGTTGTCATGTCTGGCAGGGAAAATATCAATAAATAAAATTTTAAAAGGTTGTGTGAGAAGTAAGTAAGTAAATAAATCAGTAAGAAAATAAACAGAAGATGAACACACATACCTTGATTCTGACAGGGATTCTGTTTGTGTGATATCCATTCGAGGAGATCAAGTAGATGTCCAGGAAGATGGCTGCAAGGAGAAGAAAAATTCCTCACATCCCATGGAAGTGAGAGTTTTACCCTGTGAAGAGAACCAGGTAATCTTTGGGTTCCAGATCCCAAGGAGAGTTGAAGGTGTGTGTTGACATAGCAAAAGTAACAGGATTGGGTGAAGGTCTGAACACTGAGAGAAAATTGACCCTTGACCCTTTTACCACTTGGTTCATAGGACTCTGGCATCCATCTAGGGAAATGAAAATGGAAAGACCAAGTACGAGGGCACCAGACATAATAGTTCTGTGGTGGGGCTTTTAATGAGGCCTAGCACTTCACTCTAATTTCCCTTCACTACGAACACAAAAATTTCAGGGAGTTTTTCATACTTTATTCTTAAAGAGGAACAGAAATCCATGGATATGCCAAGAAAGCCTCTATTGTGCAAGACAGTGATCAAATTAAATTAACTGGAGAGGCATTAATGGCCAAAACAGAGGCATTGGAAAGAGAAAAAGTAACAGAATACTTGTAGAAAGATAAAAGAAGATGTTACAAAATGAGACCAGAACTGGAAATTATAATAGAGAGTTGAGGAACAAGAAAATGATCTCAGAAGTTTAAAAGTCAGTATGATTACCAAAATGAGAATTTCATAGAGGATTTAGGAAATAAAATGGAGAAATTTGCCAAAAAGTAAATAAAGAAGAATCAGAAAAGGAAGAGGAAAGAGAAAGGTATTTAAAAAATCAAATAAAAATTATCCAGAAAGAGAGTAACAAAATAAAAGAGAGAACTGTCACAGAAATAATTCTAAAACATTTTGTAGGACAAAAAAATATGAAAATTTAGGTAGAAGATATCAACACATTGCTGACCCCAGTGAGAACTGAAACCATAGTCATAGCTTTGTGAACTGCAGGTGTGGCGGTGCATGCCTGTAATCCCAGCACTCGGGACCTTGAGGCAGGAGGGTCATAACGAGTTCGAGGTCAGCCTGGGGTACAAAGTGAGCTCAAAGCCAATGTGAACTGCATAGGAAGAACCTGTCTCAAAAAGACAAAATAAAAATGTCATTGTGAAATTTCAGAACATATTGGATAAAGACAAAATATTAAATGCTTTTTCAAAGACAATGAATTTTATATAAAAATGATTTCATTTTCAGGACAGTGTAGGAGTGTACTATGCATCAACATAGAGAAAATCAAAATAGAGAAGTGAAAAGAATTCTCAGCAATCACCTTGAGCACACTGCCCATCTCTTTCCCAGGCTAACAGCAGAATTGTTACTGCAATAGTCTTGTGAGAGAGCTATGATTATATCTGGAGGATACTTTTGGTTGGAATTTTGTACAGATTATCACATCACAAATTTTATTCAGTTAAATGAAAACTCTATTGTTGACTATATAGTTAAATATAATTGTGTACAAGAATAATTTATTTGAGTAAAAATAACATTTTTCTCTTGTGCTGCTTTTTAGTTTTCTTGTTTTTCAGAGAAGTGTTTGGACCATACCTTAGGTAATCATCTGTGTCATGGTATTTTCTGCTTTGTGAGGGCAATGAGATATTTACATTTACTCACATGTTTTAAGTGTGTTTGCCATATAGGGGACTCTAGATTACAATAAATCTACTAGATACAAAAATTTAGATGTTCTGAGACTTTTCTACTTTTATCATCCATCTCCTACGTCATCTAGGTGGGTTCAAAATTGACAACAATACATTTATCTTTGAGATAACCTGCCTTGAACCCAAGCCATAGCTAAGCAGTTACTGCTATCCCCTTCAGCTTTATACAGATTTAATACCTTAAAGAAAGGTAACATTCTGAATCTTACATACATTTTTATTCTATAATAAGGCTTTCTGTTAAATTATAGCAATAATATGAAATGCATTGAGAAATGAATATTCATATAAAGTTTTCAATGTGATCATTAAAGAAGACCTACCATATATGACACTATTGGAAAACTCTGATAGTTTCAAATCTATGTAAAACATAGTTCCTGAATTTAGTAAATTTCTATGGGAAATCCAATAAACAAACATGAAACAGAACGTAGGATATTGTTTGATTAAGTATCCAATGTGTGGGGCAGACTGTGGATGGCTTAGGAAACAAGAGACTAATGTCTGTTTCTACAAAATAATGATGGCTCTGTCTCTGTTACAAAATGATATTGATTCTAGCTGGCGGGGAAGCCTGCAGATTGGGAGTCAGCCAACAGCTGAACTCATGCAGAGAGCCATATGTCAAAACTAGACCTTTTGTGAGTAATGCAGAATTGTCTGCAGTACAGCCTTTGTCACGGACAAATATTTCAAAGATAATCCCAGGGTTCAAAAGTCATTTTAAGTCTTAGTGGATTTGAGCAAAAAAATAGATAAAAATGAATTTTGGGTGATGCTGATATTGTCTAACAAAACTTCCATATGAAATATGATTGGAAACTTCAAGTTTTCAAGAAGTAAATTAGAATGCTAAATCTTCCTACATAATGGGATTGCTTTATTTTCCCCAAAGTGTGTGTGTGTGTGTGTGTGTGTGTGTGTTTGTACCAGGAATTGAACTCAGGACCTTGCGCTTGCTAGGCAAGCACTTATGCCACTGAGCTAAATCCCTGGCCCAAGTGTGTGTTTTGATATGTAGAATGATACTTAAGATAATAAGACGTCTTACTTTTCTTCAAAAGGTCTTACCAAATGTCAGTTTGTGCCTACGGTGTGAAATTATAAGGAAGAGAAATTCTTTATTTATAAAGGGAAGAGAAAATCTATTACTAGGGAGTTGAGATTTTGAAACCATACTCGAAAGATGTTTGAATGTCTCTAACAACCCTTAAGGACTTTATCTTGTTTCCGGGGAAATAGTATAGATTGTCACTCATGTGAAAGATAAATCTACATATTTAACTGACAGTGTCTAAGTTACCTTTGATTTTAATGATCTGCTTCAACAAACTAAATTGTAGGATTGCTGAGTTTTTCCAATTCCCTAAAATGTGTATCAGAGTTTTTTCAGTTCCCTAAAGTGTATATCAGAGTATACTTATTCCAAGCTCATGCCCCTCACTGATGGCAAATGGCTTGGTCATCTAAGGTGCTTCTGTGCTTGCGGTGGCCGCTGTCTCTTCTGACTTCCACAGTTCGTGTCTCCCTAAACTAAGAATATGCACAGGAGAAAAAAATGTTCATTAAAAGGAAATACTTGAAAGATTGGCTAGACAAAGAAAGTTGCAGTTTTCTTTCTGCTTCTGTTACAGAGATTCCTTGAAATATTTCTCAAAGTGAAAGAAAACTGTCACCTTCTTTTCTTATATTATTTTTGTGAGACCTTAATGAGAACTCTAAGAATTTTGGATTTTTGAAATCAAATTTTCAGCCCAATGTGAATAAAATGATTTAGATATAGATTAAGTACCAGTCACCCAGGAATGTGGACCATTTGGTATAAATTCAGATGACGTCAGTCCTTCACGGGTGCACTGGAATAAACTGCTTGGAAATGACTTCATAAAGTATTTAAGACAGCAACACTGTTTTCAGCTTCCTTATAACATCTTTGGTTTCTACATGTTTCAAATGAATTTTATTTTAAAAATCCAATGATATATAAGTTATTGAAAGTGTTATGAAGATATGAATTATAATACAGAAGAAATCAGACTCACATGTGCAAACATCATATTAGCTCCCTAGAGTGAGAACCTGAAAGAATAAATAAAACCCAAAGGTACGATAGATATTGTGAAAGGAAAAGAAATTGCTCAAAGGTAAGGAACAACTGAGATGAGGAAAAGGAGAAAAATAAGAAAGAAGGAAGTGAAAAAAATACATATGTATATATAGAGAGAGGGAGTGAGAGAGAGAAGGATAACTGGTATAGTTGTACTGCTGACATCTATTGGCTTATTGAAATGGACAGTTAATGCTTAAATTTTTTGAGCAATTTTGCATACTTATATCTGGTCATCTGAAAAACTAATTTGAAGACAGCAATATGCAATATAAAACATTGGTGAATTCATACCATCTTGTTTAGTGAAGCTCTGTTTCATTTCTACGGTTTTTTAAAATTACTTTTTATTCTCTTTAATGGTTTTATCAGTCTTGCATTTTTATATCTGGTAGTCGGAGCAACTTTGTTGAAGATAACAGTATGTAAAATAACAACCCCTGTTAATCCCTATCATTTTGTTTTGAAACTCTGTATCATCTTCATTGTTTTGTGTTTTGTTTTTGTCTATGCTGTTATTTTGTTATTTTTTAAAATTCTCTTTAAAGTAAAAAAATAATTTCTAGAATGTAAAGAAAAGTTAATTCTAATCTGAAGGGTTTTTTTGGATTGTACTTAAGAACGTACTCCGATGTCTTTATGGGAATAGGACTCAGCACGACTGAGAAGGTGCGGTAACTTGAATAAAAGAAAGTTGCTTGGGGCCCTGTATGCTTTTTTTGGTCCGTACAGTCAATGCAGCAGCATCATCCAGTTTGAGTGTTTCCTACTGTGCAGGGCTTGTGTGAAGTGCTCTCAAAGCATATGGTCAAGAGTAGAGCGGTGACCCAGATAGCTACAGGCTTCTCAAAACAAAATCTATCACCCCACACCGGACACAATGGAAATGGTTAAAAAAAATATTTGAGGAAAAGTTACAAGCTGTTACCAAAACGACCCTAAGCATAAACTGGTATCTGCCAACATTTATGCAAAGTGACAAAGCAGTCTTAAGTGGAGAAGTGACTGAATACGTGTTCCTAAATTAGGGCTGGGGATTTAGCTCAGCGGCAAAGTGCCTGCCTGGCAAGCGCAAGGTCGTGAGTTCGGTTCCTGGTACCGGAGAAAAACAAAACAAAACAAAAAACATGTTCCTAAATTAGAAAAAACATGTTTTTGAAAAATTCGAAGTAGCTAAGAGAATAGTTTTACTCATCCCATCGCTCAACTATGTGACTCTTGCCTAAAGAAACTGTCAGTATTAATAATGATAATAATGAATGCAAAGACATGTTTCCCAATCACGT